TTCTTCCCTCATTCCAGGGTAACTCAGCGACTCTAGGCTCACCGATGAACACCACTGCTCAACCATGCAATCGCCCGATGCGCGTCTTCTAATACAAGTAGTTATGGACTTTTAGTCGCTGGGTGAACCTACAGATATATAAAACCATCAAAGACGTCTCAAATAAAGACCCCCGTGGTAATGGCTCAGTGCCTGGACTCGCTAGCATACACATACCCTCCGGCTTCTGTGAATCCCTTGACTTACAAATGCTTCTTTGCATCTAGTGCCATTCAGCACTACAAAAGGATGGAACAATGGATCGGAACGAATCCTGTAACAGAAAACAGCTTCCGACAACTTAGCGAACTAGTTTTGGGCTACGGTAAATAATTGCACCGAGGAGTTATTGCACCAATGCAATGGCATCGTTGATGGATTAAGGCCACCACAAGACGCATCTTACCCTGCAAAGTGGACTGCTATTGATTGCATGAATCGAATAAGTCATCCCAGGAAATTAGAGTGAGTAAGAGCTCTGCCAGCGAAAGTCAGCACACTAGCGATCCCCGCGGCAAGCACTTATCGTTCTTCGACGTTCCAGGTAACAGGCGCGGTAAACACTGTAAGTCGTTGTGTGCCCTTTGCCATCAATTTCGAGTGATCAAATTGGTGCGTTCTCTGCCCTGCGGAATTGGTTAGGACATCCCACACATCACTTGATCGCATCGCGAAGAGTATTTTTATCGATGCAGAACGGCGTTGTTCAGGCTGGTAATACCACCTACTATGTCACCAATGAGGGCGGTACATTCACTGTGAATGTCACCGCCATTCTTGTGGATGGTTTAACTGCTTCAACTATAAAAGGTGCGCCATCTTCGAATGCCATAGAATTTGACGAAACGGAATGAAACTTGCCATGTTTCAGAAGACATTGTGTTTGAGCCTATAGAAGAAATCAAGGTGGTAAACATTCAACAAAATGTCGAACGCCATGAATATACTCTCACATGGGATATCACAGGAGCTCGAGCCGATGAGATACCGACATATCAAGTGAAGTTGGTCGAACGGTTCACGTACTAATTAAGGAGGGAGGATCTTCCAAGTCATGGAGGCCTATCTTGGAACGGTTCTTTGGATGAAGTAGTGGTTCATGTAGAAAGAGAAAACTGAGGTTAATTTTCGCTGAGTGGCTCCACCGATAGTGCTCAATTGAGTTTGAGTACCATGATTAAAATTGCTCACTTCCATCATTTCGCCTCAAGGGTTATTCGCAGCTTCACAGAGTTCCGAGGTCTCACCAAAGTCAGACTTTGCTGTGACCATGACTTAAAACTGCTTTTGTACTTTGCGGCACCGTCCACCAGCGACCATTAGCGTTCTAGGGACTAGGAAAGTGTGGATATCGATCTGGCATCTACTAGCGTCTACTAGCGTCCACCAGCGACCATCAGCGTCTCGAGGGACTTGGGAAGTAAGGGTATTGATCTAGCGTCCACCAGCGTCCATCAGCGACAAGGAGTAGAGACTATGGAGAAGTAGGAGGGTAGCAGACTGCTGGCAGAGGATGGAGAAGTAGGAGGGAGGAGACAGCTGGATTAGGCGTCGTGAAATGGTGGCGTGTGCAATTGCACCGCATTAGTACACAATACCGTACTCCTGGTCGCTGATGGACGCTGTTGGTCGCCGGTGGACGCTGGTGGACGCTAGGTCGATGTATATACTTCCTTAGTCCTTCGAGACGTTGATGGGCGCTGGGCGACGCTGGTGGACGCTGCGGCGAACTATGAACGGCAGCCTTACAGAATGATTAGCGTGTTCGCAAATGTGCCGCCGCCCTCCATGCAGACTGCGAACCGCTGTCGATTCACATCAATATTGCTGGAACCACTCAGCCAACGTGAACCTCACTCTATCTAGCCCACACAGGAACCCTCAAGTCCGTGAAAATGAGATACTAAATATGTCCTTGGGAATGTAGCTTCTGAGTAGGGACGCCGACTAGGGGCGACCTACGAATACTCGTGTAAATTACCTTTTCTATAGCAAAGCGAAACTCCAGAGCTAGAATTGGTATAAAAACTTTGCAGGGCATAGCACTACATGATACTCTGCGTTGAAATCTGAATGCCCTTTTTTGCAATCAGAAGAAAAAAACTGGCGGTGAGTGCACTGAAAAGATTTTTTCTTTTTTATAGGCGGAGTGGCATCACACCTCATATGTTCATCTTTATTGCCCCAGTCTTTTAGACTGAGGAGATTTTGATCGGTTTTTTTCCACTGTACATTTTATTAGAACCCTGCCTCTGAGAGAAGTTTGACCCCCTGAATCAAGATTGTGAACTGTTGACCGAATCTTCTCCTGTAGAGAAACTGTGCGAAACCTGACCTAAATCATAAAAGTAATGCATCACAAGGTGGTTCAACATCTGACAATAGCGCTCCTCAGTCATATATTAATAACCAACGAGGGGGGGGGGGGAGGGGTCCGCGATAAGTCCCATCCGTTGCATACAAAAGAGAAAAGATCGTTCCTATTTGTTTGGTTTTGTTACTATTTGTTCAAAAGAGAGCGTCGGGAAAAAGAGAGTGTTCGGAACCAGCGATTCTTCAGGTCGTTCCTCTCGCCCATTTGTAGGTGTGAACGGTTTTTATGTTTTCGTAGGTCGGGTTCCCCCATGGATCGTTGGTGTGCATTTACAATTGTCGGCTGTGGGTGCTGGGGCGTGTCAGGGTGCCAGATTTGGCGCAGCGCCAGCCCAGTTCCCATCATTTACTGTCCCCTGCTCCAATGTACAATTGTTGGAAAACAGGCTAGCACCACACCTAACCCAGCTCCCCTTCCCCACTGACACGCCCCAGCATCCATGGCGAACAAGACTGCACGCAGGAGGCAACATGCGCCATATGCATCAGGGATGAATATGGGAACATATTTATTTCGTGTAATAATGAAATTGTAGAGAGTAGTTAAACAGTTTTTCTTACAGAAACGACAAATCCTCTATAGACCTGAAAACTATTTTGTTACGATTAGAGCGGTAGTTGGACCGTATTTCGGACCTCCTAGCGAGGAAGTGACTATAGAGTTAAAAGAGTTAGGTTGGTTTTCAGCCTTTGTTGCAAAACGTTTTAGACTATACCTCGAAATTTCCAAGCTTGCCATGTTGACATCCTCTTTATGCCCCTTCTGGTGCAGCATCCTCTTTCGTATAGTTGAAATCTAAAAAAAGAAAAAAGTTTTATTCTGTCGGCCCGACTGCCGTCGCCATTGTGTATCGGTTTGTCAGTACTTAAAGCGCAACACGGGGGATGGATTGGGGTATAGAGCATCGTGTTGTGTGGAATGACGGTGTAATCACGACTTCTTACCTCCCCATTCTCATCTAACTCGAACCTTCTCCTGTTTCCCCAACTCTTTTTTCCTTTTCTGGAAATTTTCCGGGTTTTCCCCAAAAAAATTGCAGTCGAGCAGTTTTTTTTCCTGCGAGGGAGGGTTGGGGTGAATCGTTGCTAACCACTCACTCATTCCACTTGTAAAAAAATTGAGAAATAGTAGTTAAATGGTTGTTCTGCGGGCACTCAAAAGAGGGGAGGATTGAGGATATGAAACGTGAAGAACCGTGAAAGGCTGCGAAAAATAATTCTCAAAGGGAATTGCGACGTTTCTCCGAGCGATCGACTATGATCCCACTCCTGCGTAATGGGATTCTCCCAACGACACTGTTCTTTGATGGGGGATTGCTAGTAAGGCAGTGTTCAGACTTCGCGACGGCAGCATTTCAGTCGCGCGTTCAACGCCATCAATGCAGTCGAAAGCATGCGCATCGATCGCGTCGAACGCGCGACCGAAGCGCTGCCGTCGCGAAGTCTGAACGCTGAATGGGGGCATAGCCACATTGCACTGATGAAGAGTTTCGCGTGCGTTAGTTGCTCTGAATTGCAGAAAGACAGCATATGCCGTACAGGCATCAAATTCGATACTGTTTCTGTTCTGGTCGCCACTCAGGAATATTGCGCGACCAGACTTCCTCGGTAAGACTTCGGAAGCCTTTCTCGTGCCCATCAATTTTGCCTTTACCACGAGCGCAAAACTACAGTCGCGCGCGATGAACCAGGCCAGAGGATGGACAAACGAAGAACTTTAGCGAGCTTCGACAAGCTGCATGTGCGTGACGAATTACTAGTGCATATGTGGTAAACATCTCATATCGTCGCTGCTCCGTCGAAAAATTCCAGCTAGCAATCGAAGATTCGTCAACATAGAAGCTGTTTGCGCAAGGTTGCTGCATACATCGATAAAGTTGTTGAGATAAGATTGACCCAGGTGAAACTGCAATGATACTTCAATTGAAAGTAAAGTAGTTGGGCTTGGTCGGGATCGCTTCGGTTTTGGCAACGATTCATTGTGATGGGCGAGCCGGGGTCATCGACGGTGGTCATGGGCGTAAGACCGATCGCCACTTCTGGCCTACTCGGTTGTTTAAAGGAGAACTGAGAGATTAACCAACCTTTCAGCCGGATAGTTTTCCACCAAATTTCTTCCAAAATATATGCCGCGAGATGTCGCTGGATGTAGTGCCGCAAAGATGGTCTGTATATAGTGAAGAAAAATAACAACAGGAAAAAAGCATATAACTTACTGAAACAATTCATTGCACTGAATAGCTGTCCGCGAATATGTCCTGAGGGACGTGACCTGATGGGATTAGCAACTAACAAAATAATTGGTGAAGAAATCCTTCTGGGGCGAGATCTTGCTCGCTGGTAACCGTTAGATGAGATATGAGCGGCAAAGCGCCAAAAAAGACTGAAAACAGAATCAACTCACTCGCAGAAGAAGTTCAGAACATTGAAAGAGAAGTGGGGGCGGGGTGCCCGGCAGCACGCGCTGAGTTGCTGCCGGGGGGAGGGGGAGATGGCTCTGCTTGGCGTGCTAGAGTTGAATGCGACGCCGTCTGGGTTGATTGCGAAAAGGGTGAGTGTGTAGAATGCTGGTTTGCGTTTTAGGCCGGGGGTTTACGGGTAGCGGCGTCTGGCAAACCGGTGATATAATGACGCAACGCTGGGTTGTGGAGCCTTACCTAGTGCGGCACACTGACTCGGAGGGCCGCGTGGGTGGCATTCCTTTGTGCCGATTGTTTTCCTTCTCCTTTCCAGGTTTTATCTCTTCCGGCTGGTGGCATAACGCTTCCGCGTCGGTCGGGCGACTTAGGTTACATTACAGTATTGCACGCTTTCATTTCTCGTGCTCACAAGACCATGAATCTCCGTGATGCAAAAACCATCAGAGCTTTCTCAGTTGTTTCACATATTCATTCCTTTCTTTCCGCTGTGCGAACCATGGGGCATGGCGTGCTGTTCTCGTGGCTATCTTTTTTCAGGCAGAATATACAGACCCGGGGTTTCCTGTATCTCGCAAGAAGCGGTTTCCACTTTCGAATCTCCTTTTCGTGCATTTTCTGAGTCCTTTCAACTTACTGTCGATTGCCCAGAGCTCCATTTCTCCACCGACCTTCCTCTTCTTTTCCTCTTCCGGTTTCTCCTCTTCGACTTTCCTTTTCCTTTCTTGGATCGTGATAGGTGTTTGCCGTGTTGGTTTTTCTGAGTCTGAGTCTACAATCCTTAGGTAGTCCTCTTCTTTTTCGTATCGCTCGCTGATTTTCTTGACTAGCACTAACTGTTGAATTTGAGCTTCAATGGCAAGTTCGATCTTTGCTTCTAATTCGCTTTTGACTTCCTGTTATTGCTTTTAAGATTTCATCTTTGATTCTCTGTGTGTTTTCTTTCAATTCTTCTTTGAACTCCTCAATTTCTTCTTTACGATGTCTTTGCTGTTTAAGTTCTTGTAACTGATATGATTTCTTCTAACTTTTGTTCGAGTCCCGCGAGCTCTTCTTTTTGCCTTTCTTGTTCGGTCTTCTCATTTACGGTATACCGGAATTCCTTTCCAATGCTTCTTCTGAAATCACTGGCCATCTGTATCAGGTTTTCTGTTTCGGAGTTCACAATTGTTTGTGTCATTTCCCACGATATCGGTCTCGCATGTCGCCGAACTCTTTCCTCGAATAGCTGTCTGCTACGCTCCGTGGCGTATCCTCCATCGACCAGAAGTTGGTAGACATCCCACATAATGTATGAGTTCTTCTTGACAAATGACATCTTCGCGATCGAGTCCGTGATTTTTGCCGTCCAGTCCGTGCATTTCAGGAAGAGATCTTGCGTCATTTCTTGTTCTGCGATTGCGTCACTTCTGATCTCCTTGAATTCTTCGGCTATGTGAATGGAATGTGTGAAGTCGAATCAACTTCAAATTCTTCTTCGGAAAAACTTGAATCAAACGCCACACTTCTGGCCTACTCGGTTGTTTAAAGGAGAACTGAGAGATTAACCAACCTTTCAGCCGGATAGTTTTCCACCAAATTTCTTCCAAAATATTAATTGCTCAAGCGAAATGCGCGCTGTGTGCCCGCAACGATGATGGATATGTGAGTAACAATAACAACAAGAAAAGATATAACTTCTGAAACAATTCTTCACTGAATACCGTCCGCCGAATATCTCTTAAGGTACTGACCTGTGCGGATTAGCAACTAACAAAATAATTGAAAAGAAAATCTTCTGGCGAGTCTTGCCTCGCTGATAACCGTTAGACTGAGAATATGAGGGGGCAAAGGCCCAAAAAAACAGACTGAAACAGAATCAATCAATCCAGAGAAGTTGAATGAAGAGAAGTGGGGGCGGGGTGTCCGCAGACGCCGCTATGTGTGCCGGGGGAGACGGCTCCTGCCTTGCTCGCTAGAGTTCCAATGGACCCGTCTGATTGATTGCGAAAGGGTGAGTGTAGGATTTCCCGCCCGTTTGGTTTTGGCGCGGGGTTACGGTAGCGGCGTCTGCAAACGGTTGATCTAAGACCAACCGGTTGGTGGAGCTCTTACCTAGTGCGACACACCATTGATCGCTGCCGGTAACTTCTGTACAAGCCCGTGAATTATTGTAAAGCTGTGCAATAACATGAAATTTATTTATACCTGACAAGTGTGTGTAGGTCCGACCGAAATCGGACGTGTAATTTTACATGAACTAGCGAATGGAACTAGAGTGAATGGAAGTGCGGGAAAATCCCTCCCCCCCCCCCCCATCCACTCAGCAGCGCTCAAAGTACACATTGAAGTGGAGGTCATACAATGACAATCGATGCTGCCTTCCTCGTCCACGGTTCTCGTATCAAACTGTCGATCGAATCCCGTTCCATCCTTAGGCAATTGGTCCTTACATCACTTTGACGTCAATTACTTCAGATCAGGGACAGTAAAGAACCGCCAATTTCACACAATTTCCTGTCCATGTAAGTGATCGTGTAGACTGGTCGCAGGGCAGTGCCACGGCGATCTCGAGTGGGGGTTGGTCAGGGCCAGAGACCAGCTCTCTATCCTTGAAATATGTACTACGTCCTCATTTGTATCGGCTAGTTTTCAACAACCACTGTAGTGAGAAAGTTATGGTAGTGAGAGGCACCTTTATGGTCAGTTAGGCTACGTTAATATTTTGCCTCAGCGTCCAGCAGCGAGCACTAGTGTTCCGAAGTCCTGCAGCGTCAGCGACGAGAAAACAATAGATATAGATCTAGCGTCTGGCAGCGTCCACCAGCGTCTGCCAACGTCTCGAGAGCCAGGGAATAATATTGTGGATCTAGCGTCTGCCAGCTCCTACTACAGTCCACCAAAGTTTACCAGCAAACG